AATTTGTCCACGTCTGATCCCATCGCTCTCATTCGAGAGCTTTTTGTTTTTGCAGGTCAGGCTCTAATAATAATGAGAGGACCGGATACGTTAATGGGCCTTTAGTCGCCTAGGCCCAAAAGTCAGGGGTATTTTAGTCAATGGAGATGGGTAACTCTCTCTCAACCCCCTTAATAAAGTCTATCGTCGCCCTCTCAATCACATCAGCCCTAAATTTTTTTTTTTTGGGTTCTGTGCAGAGATCGAAATCATGACTACCAGAGAAGCCTCCGACGAAATAATTTCTACTGTACCCGATAAATTCTGGGGTAAGTATATCAAATTTTATTCTCAGTCGCTTTTGTAATGAATCTAATCGATCCGAAGTTGAATAGATTCGTTCTAATCGATCCTTTTTTCTCTAATAAAAAAACTGATGTTTCAAGTTCTTTTTTCGTTTCTTGTTATTTTTCTCTGAAAACCTCGCAGTGGCTAAGACATTCGTCTTATGGGATCTGGAAGATTGCCCAGCCCCTTGTGATCTCACTCGTTTGTCGGTCTATGCTAATATCATATCAGCTCTCGCTGATATGGGTTACATTGGTAGCTTGTATCTCAATGCTTATCATCTGAAGAAGACGGAGAACGAACAAGAGTTTGAACAAGAGTTTGAACGAGAGTTTGGACGTAAGCTTGAATACACCGCAATCAAGATATTTCGACCAGGTCAATTTTGGAACAAATTTTTGTTTTTACGTTGTGTCTTTTTATCTGACCTCTCCTTGGATATATATTGTTGGTCGTTTCAGAAAGTATTCGTGCAAAACGTGAACAAATAGTTTGGGACATTTTTGAGTGGCAGTCAAGACATCGCAATGAACCAACAAATATCTTGCTAATCTCAGGAGAGATCCTCGACTGCAATCAATACGTCGTGGCTCTTCAACTCGCTTTAGATTACAATAACAATGTTCTCTTGGCACTTCCTAGAGACCCATCTGAATCGTTAATTGGTGTTTCAAGATCAATTTGGCTTTGGTCTAGTCTATCAAAAGGAGGGGGCCCTCTCATTGAGGAAACCGAAAGCTTGGAAGTCGTTATTACTCTATCTACTCCTCCTCGCACTGAACCGCCACTACTATGTCTTAACTGTTATAAGGAGCCGATGAACACAACAGAACCCGGATGCCAACAAACCAGCATTCCGGACAAATTCTCCTGTAAGCTTTCTCTCCATCTTGTCGTTTGTCTAATATCTGGATTATATTACACCTGATCAATCTTTCGTAATCGATTCTTCTTTTTCTAATTGATCTAATCAAAACTAAAGTTTCAAGTGGTGTCTTTTTTTTTGTTTCCTTTCTCATGGCTATTCTTGTTTTTATCCTTAAAACCTCTCAGTGGCTGAGGTAGGCGTCTTATGGGATCTGGATGTTTGTCCAATCTCATGTGGTCTCACTCTTGCGTCGATCTATTCTAATATCAAAACAGCTCTCCATAATATGGGTTACTATGGTAAGGTCTATGTCTCTGCTTATTCTCTTGAGAAGCTCTTGAACATACAAGCGTTTGAATCTGCCGGAATCAACCTTTTGCAACCAGGTTAATTCCTAAATTTAAAACCC